CGAGGAAGAAGATAGTGGAAAAAGAGGGTGTTTTTTTATTACAATTTTTAGAAATTTAGGGATAAGAGATGTGTTAATTTAAAAATCATGAGAGGTTGAATGATCTATATATAAAATTTCTTTACTTTTTTGCTAATAAATTACTCCTGCGATTAGAAAAGTCTATTTGTCATCGGCTTGTCACTTTTTAGGTCAAATTATCGTCGGTGTCACTTTTTAGGCCAAAGTGGTAAAGTTGTGTCACTATTTAGACTAATCTGATATTTTAACCCATATGAAACTATAGAGTTTAAAAGAAATTAAAGAAATAAAGAAGTGTTGAAAAAGTATTATAGAAGTTCTATTTGGGCATTAAACCAAAGTGGTGTAATTGGACTCGGATCTCATGATTTCCAGCATTTTTTTCTTATAAGAAAGGATTAAATAAGCTAAATCAAAGATGTAATTAATTCTTGAAAAAGGATTGGCTACTAGGATCCTATTTGATTACCAACTCTTGACTTTGGAAGAGAAAGACTTTGGAAGAGAAAATGAACATTAAAAAAACAAAATTAGAAAAATGGTGGTCTTATTTTGCTTCTAAAACGTGTAAACACCTTCTTAGTTCAAAAGACGACACGTGTTAAAGGTGCTAAAGCACATCCTTGGTGACAATAAACCTTCTATTAGCCTTTCTCCCTCATTATATTATCTCCAATTCTTCTTCCAAACTCTTGTTTGATTATACCAAAGATTCTCTTAGTTCACTTCACTTGCACCTTGTTTAGGATCATGAAGTTTTGGCACTAATAGATTATTACAAGAAAACATAGGATAAACATTTCACTCTACTTCTTCTTGTTCACTGAAATAAAAAGGAGAAAATAAAAAAAAAAACTAATTAAACCTCTCTTTCTATCTCTTAAAACCAAGGGATTTTGGATCTTCTATATGGCCAATAAAATCACAATCATCTCATTAAAGTTTTATACATAATTCATTTCAAATATAACTAACATTGTATCTACAGGAAGTACAATTATTAGTTTAACGTTTTTCTCAACACAAATCATATTCAGTTGCCAAATAACATATGTGTATGATCAAGAAACTTTTTTTTTTCTATTGACACACTGTAGAATAAGAATGCTAATCAAACCTAAAATATAGTCAATCTATATGAAATTATGCAGAAATGAAGGAGACAATGATAAATATCTAGCATATATTTTCAAGTTCATAATGACATTGATATAATATTTTGATTGCATTGGTATAATATTAATAAATAAATAAATATAATATTTTGATCATATTATTATTATAAATAGTGCAATGTCTTTACCACTTTGGCCTAAAAAAATGACACTGACGATAATTTAACTTAAGGGGCTATTTGGTTCGTTTCCTAGATATAGGAAAATGCATTTCCATGTACAAAAACACAAGTTTTAAGTTTTTTAAACTTTTTCAAGAAATAGATTGTTTCGCTTTGGTTCACACAAAAAAATGGTGGGAAACCAATGTATTTATTTTTCTTGTGTTTGGTTCGCATGAAAAAAAAAGGAAAACTTTTGTTTATATGGAAAAAAGCCGACGTGGCTGCAGTTTTCGTCGATTTCACGAGGTTGAGGAAGGAATTGGGGGAGAGAAAAAAATCTGATGTGGCGGCAATTTTCACCGAGTTTCCCTTCTTCAACCCTAGCGAACCAAAGATGGGAAAAAACCGACGGAAAGCTTATATCCTATGTGGCCACGAAAAATCTGATATGGAAGCGGTGTAAAACTTTTCCACCGATTAAAAACGAACCAAACAGCCCCTAAAAAGCAACAAATCGGTAACAAATAAACCTTTCCAATCACCAAAAACAATTTTTAAGCAAGATAATTAAGAGATTTTTATATATATCATTCAAATTTCTCATATTTTCTAATTTAACCCCTCAAGTTTTAAATTTTGTAAAAAAACTCCTCTCCCCTCCCTTCTCACCATCTTTTCCTTCATACTTCTTATCATCTCTTTTGTTCTTTTCTTTTCCCAATTGTAACCATACTCTCTTCTTTTTTTCACATATCCTCACTCTTAAGGAGATTGGTTTTTTAGCGATTGGAGGATGAAAGAGGAGAAGGAAGCGAGGAGGAAGAGAGAGTGCAAGAAAATAAGAGAAGAATGAGGTTAAGATTGTGGTGGAATGCCTAATTTGGTTTTTGGTAGTGGGTGAAGCAATTAGGAAGAGAGAGTGAGAGAAAGGAAGAGGAGAAGAAGGAAGAGGGAATGAGAGAGAGGAGATGATGTTGGGGACTTGGAGTAAAAGAGATTGGGGGAGATGAAGGAATTTAGGAGTAAGTAGATGATCTATGAAATAAGGTAGGAGAGAGAGTGAGGGAGGAGGGAATGCTAAGGTATAGGAAGAATAAGAGAATTGAGAAGATGGTGGGAAGGAGGAGGAAGAAGATAGTGGAAAAAGAGGGTGTTTTTTTATTACAAATTTTAGAAATTTAGGGATAGGAGATGCGTTAATTTAAAAATCATGAGAAGTTGAATGATGTATATATAAAATTTCTTTAACTTTTTGCTAATAAATTACTCCAGTCGATCAGAAAAGTCTATTTGTCATCGGCTTGTCACTTTTTAGGTCAAATATCGTCGGTGTCACTTTTTAGGGCAAAGTGGTAAAGTTATGTCACTATTTAGACTAATCTGGTATTTTAGCCCATATGAAAATATAGAGTTTAAAAGAAATTAAAGAAATAAAGAAGTGTTGAAATAGTATTATAGAAGTTCTATTTGGGCATTAAACCAAAATGATGTAATTGGACTCGGATCTCATGAATTCTAGCATTTTTTTCTTATAAGAAAGGATTAAATAAGCTAAATCAAAGATGTAATTAATTCTTGAAAAAGGATTGGCTAATATATAGGATCCTATTTGATTACCAACTCTTGACTTTGGAATAGAAAATGAATATTAAAAAAACAAAATTAGAAAAATGGTGGTCTTATTTTGCTTCTAAAACGTGTAAACACCTTCTTGGTTCAAAAGACAACACGTGTTAAAGGTGCTAAAGCACATCCTTGGTGACAATAATTAAACCTTCTATTAGCCTTTCTCCCTCATTATATTATCTCTAATTCTTCTTCCAAACTCTTGTTTGATTATACCAAAGATTCTCTTAGTTCACTTCACTTGCACCTTGTTTAGGATCATGATGTTTTGGCACTAATAGATTATTACAAGATAACATAGGATAAACATTTCACTCTACAACTTCTTGTTCGCTGAACGAAAAAGGAGAAAATAAAAAAAAACTAATTAAACCTTTCTTTGATCTCTTAAAACCAAGAGATTTTAATTTGGATCTTCTATATGGCCAATAAAATCACACCCATCTCATTAAAGTATTTTACATAATTCATTTCGAATATAACTAACATTGTATCTTCAGGAAGTACAATTATTAGTTCAACGTTTTTCTCAACACAAATCATATTTAGTTGCCAAATAACATATGCGTATGATCAAAAACTTTTTTTTTTCTATTGACACGATGTAGAATAAGAATGCTAATCAAACCTAAAATATAGTCAATCTATATGAAATTATGTAGAAATGAAGGAGACCATGATAAATACCTAGCATATATTTTCAAGTTCATAATGGCATTGATATAATATTTTGACTGTATTGGTATAATATTAATAAATAAATTAATATAATATTTTGATCATACTATTATTATAAATAAGAACATAGATTTAGAAATTATGGTGCATCATGAATCGTGGATTTCTAAAACCTTCTAACGTGGAAAGCTAGAATTGACCAAAAACAAAAGTATACTCGTTTAATTTGTTGGTTAACTCCCCAAAGTAATGTCTGAACCAATAAAATACCAAACCACATAAAAGGGCACACGTTTTCATGAAGATGTGCGGTGGATTCAGAGCCCAGATGGCACACTCCAACTCTCAACCGATCAAATCAATGACCCCCCAACAATATCCAATCCTTCTCTTCCATTTGGGCACCCGAGGAATTTGATTTTTCCTTTAACAAAATTTAATTGAAGTTTTAACGAAGTTCCACCATAATTTGATTTTATGCCCAGCAAAGCACATTATCCTACTAGTGCCATTAAGGGCCCGTTCGGATCGTGTATTTTGAAAGGGAAATGAGGGGAAAATATGTCAATTTGTCAGTTTTTTGACAGCATTCCCCCAAAATCGCCTCTATATTTAGGGGAAAACCGCCAAAATGCTGACAAATTGACAGCTTTCCCCCTTCATTCCCCTTCAAAATACCCAATCCAAACAGCCCCTAAACCTTGTTTATTTTCAGCAGTCTGTGATGAAATATCTTTTCGATATAAGTTACTGTATTTGCTATAAGTTTTTGTCCCTTATTTTAGGATTATTTACATCTTAATACCTTGTGGTATGATATAGTTACACGAAATAACTTTGAGGTATGTATATCTACACGGATAATCACGGGATTATTGATTGAGATACATGGGTAACTCTCCTAAAATAAATCCTAGGGTTTCTCAGAATCTTAGTTAGTAATCTCATCCTGTAGTCGGTAGATACACAAATATCAGGATCATCGGTGTAATCATACTAAACCATACATAATCAAGATGTAAATAACACTTCATTGTATTTTATTATATTTTTCAGCAAGGCTGCTACGTACTAGGACGATTGAAATACACAGTGCTAAATAGCGACTGTATCTGACGAATTAAGCTAACATGGATACTAGTTCCAAAACACAACGCTAAGGAGTGTTTATTTGCATTTTTAACTCTGAATACAATTTGACAGGATATTTGGGAGTTAGGAGTGAGATTTTAGGACCGGGTGGGTCAGAAAATAAATGAGAGCGTAATCATGGGTTTATAAATAAAACATCTCCAAATAAAGTTTAGGTGGGCTATTTCAGACTTTTCGTCATCTACCAGATTCCTCTAGAATCCCCTATATATGCACCGAAGACCCCCCATCATTTCTTGTTTGTTCTTCCTCCTTCGTGAGCAAAAGAGGGAGCGGTAGAAGCTTCATTCAACAGAGAGGTTCACTATGGCGAAGCTCTCACTCAAAATTCTAGGGCTAGCAGCTGAGCTCGCTTTGAGCTCTATGCTTCATCTCTTATATGGGCTTTATATATTCAGCACCGCCGTTGCCTGGGACCTCTCTAAAGCTCTAACTGAGCTCTATAGGCCCAACAGTGCAAAAAATGTGAAATCTTTAGATGATAATGTGAAGCAGAAGGTGATATTGGATGGTTCGGTGCCCCCAATTGTGCTTGTTCATGGAATCTTTGGATTTGGGCAAGGGGTAATCTAGATTTTTTTCTTCTTCTTCTGCCCACTTTGTTTGGTTTTTGGTTTTGGGGTTAGTTTTGGTTGGATTTTGAATTTGCAGAGGCTTGGGGATTTGTCTTATTTCGCTGGCGCAGAGAAGAAAGATGAGCATGTTTTAGTCCCTGATTTGGGTTCTTTGACTAGTATTCATGATAGGTGAGCTTTTTTTTTTAACGGAAGGATTTATTGATTTTTTTTTGAATGAAAGTTTAATGGGTTTTTGGGTTCAGGGCTAGAGAACTGTTCTATTATTTGAAAGGAGGGCAGGTTGATTATGGAGAGGAGCACAGTAGAATCTATGGGCATTCGCAATTCGGGAGGAAATATGAGCAAGGTAATTTCTTTTTATTGAGGAAATTCAGATGGAATGTTATTTGATTGGATTTGATCTGATTTTGTTGACATGCAATTTGCGATCAGGGCATTACCCAATTTGGGATGAACGGCATCCAATCCATTTCGTTGGTCACTCTGCCGGAGCTCAGGTTGTGAGGGTTCTGCAGCAAATGCTAGCTGATAAGGTAAATTATTTCAGTTTTATTTTTTTTCCTTGTTATTGAATGATTTTAAAGTGAATGATATCCCGTATATACAAAAAAAAAAAAATAATAATAATTGGTGTAATATACAGTTATCTTAATCTCTTGTTTCTTGGCTCTTTAGTGCTAATTGTACGGTCTTTGCTATTAAATATTTTGCTTACAGCAGTTTTCAGTGGTGATAGAACAATTTTTCAAAACAGCCCCTTTTAAATTTTTATTTTTCAAAATCGACCCTATTTTTTTTTATTTATCAAAACCGACCCGTTTTTCTATTAGCAGCCTAATCACATTCCTAAATAGTCGGGGTTGCCAACCCCGACTATTTAGGAGGGTGTTAAACCCTAATTAGAAGCCTTAAACCATACAAATTTAAATCCTAAATAGTCGGGGTTGGCAACCCCGACTATTTAGGAATGTGATTACGCTGCTAATCAAAAAAACGGGTCGGTTTTGATAAATAAAAAAAATAAGGTCGATTTTAAAAAATAAAAATTTAAAAGGGACTGTTTTGAAAAATTGTTCGTGGTGATATTGTTATTTAGCTGAAGCTAACTACTCCAAATATCTTACCACTATTGAGAAATTACATGTTTGAGGCGATCATAGTCTCATTATACAACCAACCATAAAGGCATGAGTCTGAAAATTGCATTCCCATTTCTCAACTACTCTTCAGACAAACTGCATCAATTAGACTCTAGTTTTTCAAGGTTGTCCAACCAAACAAAAATTAGTTTAATAAGATAAAAATATACCATACCTACATTTACAAGTGCAAGAAAAAGTCAACTTAAGAAAAATCCAACTTTTCTTTTTGAATTCAGGCTTTCAAAGGCTATGAGAACACCTCTGAAGACTGGGTACTAAGTCTTACCTCCTTGTCAGGAGCTCTCAATGGAACAACAAGAGCCTATATCGATGGAATGCGGTAAATATGACCAAATATTATATATTGTCACATAATTAATCCTTCATTCTTGATCAGATCAATTGCACATCGATTGCCTGTTGTATCGTTGTTTTGTACTTAACTACCCCTATAGTTCCATTGTCGCATATATATCCCTTGGTTGAAATTAGTGAGTTTATCTGAGGGTAAAAGAGTCAAAAAATCTAACTCGGGGATCTTTCTGCATCAGTGAAACTAAAGAGCTAGTCAAAACAATAAAACTACAGGGGGTCTATGTGCAATTAACCCTTCTTAATCTAATCTTCAACTAATCAAAATTTCGAATAATTTCAGGCCAGTAGATGGAACATCCATGAAATCAATATGTCTCCTTCAACTCTGCAGATTAGGAGTCACATTTTACGATTGGTTTAACATCCCATTTGTAAAAAATTACTACAATTTTGGGTTCGATCATTTTGAGATGGAATGGAGAAAAACTGGCATCTCAGGCCTCATCGATCTTTTATTAGGAAATACAGGTCCATTTGCTACTGGAGATTGGATCCTACCTGATTTAACAATCCAAGGCTCAATCAAGATCAATTCGACTCTCCAAACTTTTCCAAATACATATTACTTCAGTTATGCAACCAAGATGACAAGGAGTATAATGGGAGTAACAGTGCCTTTGAGTGTGCTTAGAGTTCATCCGTTGTTGCTTTTGAGAGTTCTTCAGATATGTCAGTTTCGATTTCCTTCAGAGCTGAACCTGCCCTATAAAGGGTACAGGTATGTGTAAAGAAATTAGTCAAGTAATAGTGTTTAGTTTGAGTACATTGTTGTTATTGGTTTTGGTGAATGGTGTGTACCTTGGTATTACTGGATTCAGAGATGAAGATTGGGAAGACAATGATGGAGCTTTGAATACATTATCGATGACACATCCTCGATTTCCTGTAGAGCATCCGAGCCGTTTGGTATTGGATGATTCAGAATGCCATCCAATGCAACCTGGAATCTGGTTAGTTTTCCAGAATTTTTTTTTCATATTATTGAATTGTTATGACAAGGGTAGTTATATATTTCATTTTTGAGAAAATTAGAAAACTGCATCATTTAGTACATTTCACTCAAGTTTTCATTATGCAAGTAGTTAATTAACTTAGTCCATATGTATGTATTTAGCTACTGTCTTGTGTATTCCTACTTAATGGGGCATATGAATACGTTTGTTAGCAGTTACACCCCAAATTTGAGTCATTTAAGAGTCATTTAAACATTTAAAACAGTTCATGTTGACAAGAAAACATAAATTATAACCTTTTACAAGAAAAGTGTGTACTATAAAAGATAAAGATGAAGTAATTAAAAAATATTCTCCAGAAAAAACAGTATCAGATAATTGGAAAAATAAAAAAACTTATTACATTGTAATACTTTTGAGCTTCCTGAAATCTCAAAAGAACTTGATGAATAATTTTCCTTTTAAGTACAAAGTACTTGACATTATTTCAAAATTCATGCAGGTACTATAAAATAATTGAAGCAGATCACATGTTTTTCATTGTGAATAGAGAGAGAGCAGGAGTTCAATTTGATCTCATGTACGATAGTATTTTCCAGCGATGCAGAAAGCATGTATTCAGGTCTAGACCGCCACCAACATTACCCAATGTATCGACAACAGAGGAGAACTTATTGTAGAATAGGAGCATATTGATTCTTTTCTGCTTATTTTCTCTCTTCAAGCTGGATTGTAAATCACAATTGATACCAATGAGAGCTTAACGAGAGAAATTTGTAGAGATTTTACTTGTACATGGAAAATATCGTTAGCTTCAAAGATAATTCTGAAACAAGGGATTTTGATAGTAAATGATGTACACCACTTTGTTTGTGAGGTCTAAATGAGACTACAATTTGTTATAAACCAAGTGTACGCAGAAGACTCTAAAACAGTTGTGTAGCTGCCCAATGTCCTTAAAAATCTCCTTTAACTGTCTATATGTTAACCATAGATCCTTGGTTTTTTTAGATAAGTATAGTAGTGTATTACTACAGTGTTTTTTTTGCCCCTTCTACCTAAAGGTTAAAAGAAGTACGTTACAGCACTTTGACTATCAAATTTAAGTTTGGTGTTACATTTTCTCTTTGTTTAGAAACTAAATCAAAAGTCAAGATTATAAAGAATTTGAGAGGGTTAGTTTAAGAATGTACATGATGTAGTTATAGGAAGTCTCGTGGCCAAATTTTGTTAGAGAAAAAGACAGAAACAGAAAGTTCTAGTGCAAAGAACGTGTTTCACATGTGTAGATGATAATTTGCATCTGGAAGGGCATTTTTAGCCACATAAGGTTCTTCTTTTTCTCCTTTCTTTTGATGAAGATTAAACATATATCCACTTGTAGTACATGATACAGTGAAGCTAGCATATCCTCTGTATCCAAACTTTGCAATCATCTACACTTTGAGCTAGTCTAGTTCAAAAATAAGGAAAAAAAGTTTAGATGTCCTATGGAAGATCTCCAATCTTTGGATTGTGAAGCAAGTGGGGGCCACACGGAGAGGAAAACCACGTGAAGAGCAAAACTTTGGGTTCATGTGGGGCCACCTTCATGAAGTTCATGCGGATTCTCGTGACCGCGTGGTGATGGCCCACCCGAAGAGAGGTTTATAAATACCCCTTCTTTTTCTTAAGGCTGTGATTCTGTGAATAGGCAGAAGGTGAGAACGCAAAAAAAAGGCGGTTGTGCAAGTACAGGTAAAAAGAAGATTGATTCTTCGGCGTGCTGAAGGGAAATTCGACAGAAGCTGAGTCGGGTATTGTCAAGGGTTTTGTGCATCCCCTTTTGAGAGAGATTTTTGTGTGGGGGATTTGAAAGCTTGTTTGAGGGTTTAAGTTGTGTGATTGTAAACCATAGTTGTATTCTCTCCCTCTAATAATAGATCCACCCCTCCTTGCCCCTTGGACGTAAGCAACTTGCCAAACCACGTAAAATTTGTTGTCTTGTTGTCTTGTGATTTGTAATAGTTTGTTTAGGTTCCCTCGACAGGTCAGTCCTAGAACTGATGAGAGGAAGAGTGTATATCCCATTTTGTTGAGATATTGTACTTTCGATTATTGTTTCCTTAGTGAAACATGAATTTTGTTGTGATCTAATCTCTTGTTGTGCACCTTGCGCACCGGAGGTGTTGTCGAAATTTCCGCTGAGCACAACAAGTGGTATCAGAGCTTCAGGTTTGGCTTGAGGCTTGTTCGAAGGATTCAGTGAAGGATTCCTATCTGAAGAGTTAGATCGACAACATGATAGAAGCAAGCACATCAGGTTCGTCTCTTACGAAGGCGATACAGAGTCTAAGCATCAATAACACGAAGATTGATGTTCCGAAGTTCGACGGTAAGATTAATTTCGGATTGTGGAGGTGTCAGGTGATGGACGCCTTGGATGCACAGAATTTGGAGGAGACTCTTGAGTTACAAGAGAAACCCGAAGACATGGAGGACAAGGTTTGGAAGAAGATGAATAGTAGGGCTTATGGAGTTATTCGGTCATGCTTGACGTTAGATCTTATTTATGACGTAATGAACGAGACGTTGGCGAAGAGGATGTGGGAAACACTCAATGAGAAGTATCTTACGAAGAGCATTGAGAATCAACTTCACTTGAAGAAGAGGTTTTACCAATTCAAGATGAAGAGGGGAGTTTTCATCATGGAGCATGTCAATAATTTCACGAAGCTACTTTCAGATATGACCAATGTGGATATCATGGTTGAGGATGAAGACAAAGCGATGTTACTTTTGTGTTCGTTGCCCGATGATGATTATGGTACGTTCGTTCTCACTATGATCAATGAAAAAACTACTGTTAGCTATAAGAAGGTGACCTCAGCTTTGGTGAATTACGAGTTGAGGAAGAGTGATGGTAAACCCTCCGAGAAGGCATCAGGAGATGCACTAGCGGTTCGAGGCCGTGATTCAAATCGCCGTCAGTTCAACCGCTCAAAATCGAAGAATAGAGATGCCCATAAGAGTGTTGGTAGAAATTAATATTGGTATTGTAAAGAAGAAGTATATTGGAAGATTGACTGCCCAAAGTGGAAGGAAAATAGCCGGGAAGAATAAGGAGAAAGCTATACAAGCTTCAGAAGTGAATGTTGCAAAAGCTATTGATGAACATTCAGAGTCAGATTCTTCGGGCTATTCGTGCCCTGCACTACCGTCGGTTTGCTATGTCGACTCCACGGAGTCGATGTTGGATTCAGGAGCCACATATCACATATGCCCTAGGAGGGATTGGTTCTCTAGCTTTGAGGAGCTGGAAAAAGGGGATGTCGTGCTTATGGAAAATGGTCACGTATGCCCTATTGGTGGTATTGGTTCAGTCCGGATTAGGATGCATGACGGAGTGGTGAGGGAATTAAAAGAAGTGATGTTCGTGCCGCAGTTGACGAAGAACATCATTTCTCTTTTTACTTTGGAGGCAGCTGGTTATCGGGTGATCTTAGAGGATGCTACAACGAAGGTTACGAAGGATTCTATGGTGGTGATGTGAGGAGTCAAGAAAAACTTTCTATACTACTTGAAAGGCAAGACATTTACAGAGGGTCTGGCAGTGATACGAGTTGCCGTGCGAGCACCTTTGATCGCGGAATTATCAAAGGTGGGTTGAGGAGAAAACAATAAGAACACAAGAATAACTCAGGTTTTGGGCGAAGGAAAATACATTCTCTAGATTATAAGTATGCACTTTACAATCTCTCACAATCTCACTCTAGAATTGAAGAACAAGCTCTCCAAATCTCAATTACAATCTCATCTCTCTTGATTAAACTCTCTGATTGTTTTAAACCCTAAAACAATCCCTTATATAGGTGTACAAACGAGGATGGTAATTAAAGTGGTAAATAACCAAGCCCAACCCAAACAGGAAAACACGTAAATAGAGTCCTTAATGAATCTGGAAAGCTCCGATGAGTCGACTGGTCAGAGCCGAACTGCGAACTAGGCTTGGTTTCATGAGTCGACTCATGACAGGCATGAGTCGACTCAACCTGATGAGTCGACTCATGTACATGTATGAGTCGACTCACAGGCTGAAATCTGGATACTTTGACTCTTCGATTCTCTGCCTCGTTCCTCGCTCCAACCTGCGTTCCCATGTACTGTTTGACACCTCTATTCTCATGCTATCATGAGAATCATCTATCCTCAAGCTCCCATGAGGATCGCTAAGTTCCGAAGAGAAGATACACCCGTATCATGGGTCACCCCTTTAGGAACTTGAAGTCCCATTCAAGTTAGAACTTCAGCTGAGGAAACTCGCGAGATCCTCCTTCCTTGTTGAACCACTTAGCCTTGCTAGGAACTTGACCTTGACGTCCAATGAGAAACGACTCATTCATCCCCCGTCTCGTCATGGTCGTCTTTTGCTCCAAAATGCAATCTTCCTTCAGCGGCTCCTCTCTATAAAACCATAAATATTCAACATGTGGCAAGATCACTTTGTCATCACCTTCATCATCCAGCAATGGAGGCTCAAACAACTTTAAATACTCGGCATTGATCACCGAATACATGCCTAAGTAAGGCGGCAAATCCAGCCTAAAAGCGTTGTCGCCAATCTGATCGAGAATCCAAAACGGACCATAACGAATAGGTTTCAACTTCTTTCCTTCTCCTTTCAGCCTCTCCTTACCCAATTTCAGCCACACCATATCGCCCACGCCAAAGTTACAAGGAACCCGATGTTGATCATGCTTCGCCTTGTATCTTGCTTGTGACTTTTTTAATTGTGCTTCAACCGAGGCATGAATATGCGCAATCTTCTCCAGAAATCGCTGAGCACGTTGTCTTTCATTCCCCTCCTTGTCGTCTGTCGTAGCTTTACTCGAAAACACGAGATCAAATAGGCTCGACGGTAAGAATCCATAACAAGTCTCAAACGGTGACTTTCCCGAAGATCCATGAATCGCCTGATTAAAAGCAAATTGTAAATATGGTAAGCTCTCATCCCAAGTATGGGGATGCCTGAAATTATACGCCCGCAACATATGCACCATAGTCCGGTTGACTACCTCCGTTTGCCCGTCTGTTTGTGGATGAAAGGTCGTGCTCTTCTTCAATTTAGTGTCCATCAAACTTCATAAAGAATCCCAAAAATGCCCGAGAAACCGGCTGTCCCGATCCGAAATAATCGAACTCGACAACCCAAAATGCTTTCACACATGCTCAAAGAACAACTGTACTACACCCGCTCCCGTCACGGTCTTCTTATAAGGAATCAAAATCACCATCTTACTGAACCGGTCCACCACAACGTACAAATAGTCATGCCCACGCTTGGTAGTCGGCAACCCTCCTAGAAAATTCATAGATATGCTCTCCCACGGCCTAGAAGGAACCGATAGTGGTAGGTACAATCCCCTCTTCATGTTAGAAGGCTTCGAAATACAGCATAACTTACACCCTCTAACATACTTGGTCACATCATCAAGCATCCGCGGCCAAAACACATGTCGCCGTAGATTGAGAAGCGTCTTCTGAATTCCAAAATGCCCTTGCACACACGAGGTATGTGCTTCCCTAATCCACTGCAACCTATCATCCTCCTCTGGAATGCATAATGATGTCCCACGATACAACAAGCCATCTTCTCCAAGTGCATACTCCCCCCTTTGACCAGCCTTCGCCTGCTCGAACACACTATCGAAGTTTCTACTGGATGCGTACAACTGTACATACTCCAAATGAACCAAGGACTGAATACGCGTCGTCACCAATAAAGCCCTAACCGGCGGACGAGATAACATATGAGCCAACTTGTTTGTCGCCCCTTCTTGTACCTAATAATGATGTTGAAAGCCATCAAATAAGACATCCACTTCATGTGCCGCACCTGCTGTAGCTTCGTATGGGCATGTAAGAACTCCAACCGCTTGTGATCCGAGTGCACAACCACCTCCTTCCCCAAC